CTTAACCTAAATGGTAGGCAGTTTCCCAGGGTTTGGGGGATTGGGCCACACCTCCCTTCATTAGCCCCCTATACTGTCTCTGCCATGGAGCCAGTGTAGCATCCATGTCAGGTGCTAAGTCTCACAGTGGAAGAAAGAAGAGCTGTCCAGGGTGCCTGCAAGGGTGGCTTTTGCTTATCTGCTCAGAAGGGAGGGGCAGTTTTCAGGAGACCAGGTACAATCTTGCATGATTGTCTCTTCTGAGGATAAGCTCTCCTTGAGGTCATGGTTATTATTGTCTCCTGTTCCCAGCTGCAAACACTTGTTAATTATCTATCTCTGGAAGCATCTTTCAGCATCTTTGTTTAGAGGAGTTTAGGGATGAGAGTTATGGTGCAGGGTAAAAAGGGGAGACCACTCAGTTCTTTCTTTGACCCTGTTCTGTTACATTTGCTTTCATTTAAAATAGTAATGAAAATTTAAAAATAATAAAACCAGCACAATTAGTTTTTCCTAGAGAATGAGACTGGACTTTAGAGCAAAGCAAAGAAATAACAAGGGTGACACCACTCCCAAAAGCTCCTGATTAGGTAGAAAAATATTATTTTGCTTTTCTCTCTCTTCCTTTCTTTCTCTTTTTCTTTTTCCCTGTAGTGGGAAAGAAAGGCAATGCTTGGTGGCTGAGCCACTGAAATAGAAATAGTTCGAGTCTCCGGAAATGCCACATTAGAGGATGTCTAAAATCATGTGACGATTTCAAATGCTAGACAAAGTTACAGGAAATGAAGAATTAAAGCAAACATCTGGATAATCTAGGCAGCCTTCCTCTGCTCCCCAGACGCCTTTGCCTCTTATCTCTGAAGAGTGTTTTCTCGGTTGCCTGGACTGCAGCCATCGCTGCGGTGCGCGACTGTAGGATGAATGCTCCAAAGCAGCCGGAGCAGGTGTTTGTGCCGAGAGCGTCACACCGGCACTTGTGGCGAAGTGTCATCATAGCAGCCTGGGCTGTGTCTCCTCTGCGTGGTCCCTTAAGGACTGATGATTGTGTTGATCTGGATAGCAAATGGCTTGCTCTCCAGGGACCAAACTGGAAATCGATCCTTTCGGAGAGACTCATGCTTCCAGCGCCCACCTCTCTGATTTCCCCTCCACCCCATCTCTGAGCACTCCCACCACTGCCTTCAGCAAAAATCACCCCACCCTCCCCAGAGTCCCTTGTGCCCATCGCCTTATGTCCTCATTCTCTATCTACTTTTCTGACCCTCCAACTAGACAGCGAATGTTTCCCAAATTCTTTTCACCCATGTGTTCTCCGTGCCTAGCACCCAAACTCCGTCACAGGTGATCAATAAGTGCTTTTGGAATGAATGAACAATTGAGTGAATAAAAATGTAATGAAGTTCATTGATTGCAATATGCAAATTTTTCAAGGGCTTGGCCCAGAAGTCAGTTAATTTCTAACCAATGGGCTAAGCCAATGGGCCCTTCGGGGAGCTGAGGTGGGTGGCAGAAGGTGTCAGTGAATAATGAGGTTAATGGGATGGGGAAGGAAAACAGGAAGAAGGAAACAGGACGACGCTGCTGAGGACAGACCTCCAAGACACGTTAACGTTACGGCTCGTGGCTATGGGGACCAGGCGTATGTGGATGAGGGGCTTCTCCTGACCCTGCTTTGATCGAGGCAGCTCGAAAGCACCTTCCCAAGTCCTTCCCTATCTCTGGAGGTGAAAGGCAGGCCCTGCCACTGTTTGCTGTCAGCCCAGAGCCTCAGTCAGGGGCCATGGTGAGAAAACAAGGAGGCCCCTGTTCGCACCCCGAGCTGTGCCTTCCAAGGAAGGGTTGACTTAACAGCCTGTCCCCACCTCTCAAATTTACCACAATACTTGCTGCACTGTGTCTCCAGAACAAAACCCACTCAAAAGTAGACAGTGTGTGTGTGCATGTGTGCGTGTATGTGTGTGTGTGTGTGCGTGTGTGTGTGTGTGTGTGTGTGTTTTCCTCTTCTGCTCTGCTGGAGGCTCTCCAATAAAATTCTCGATTGAGTTTTCATCAACTTTGCTTCATAACCAGGCTTTTTATTCCCCTTTCCTTCTTTTCTTCCATCTCCACAGAATGGAATCATCAACTTCCTGATACACCAAACGGTTAACAACACTGGGAAATGGCGAAAAGTGCCACAGACCCTGAGCAGTGTCCCCAGTGCTGGTCAGGAAAGGCTGGGGTGCGAGGCGCTGCCTCGCGCACAGGACCTCGACCCTTGACCCTCGCTGGCCTCAGGGGCCAGGGCCCCCCCAGCAGCCGTGTGTAGCCCAGCCCTGGTCACCATTGTTTCCTGTAAAATAGACGCTGAGACAGTAGCTTTAAGAACATTTAATTGTCCAAGAAAATGCCAACCCCCAAAGGGGAGGGATTCTGTGTTTAAAAAAAAAAAAAAAAAAAGGCCGGACGCCGCGGCTCACGCCTGTAATCCTAGCTCTCTGGGAGGCCGAGACAGGCGGATTGCTCAAGGTCAGGAGTTCGAAACCAGCCTGAGCAAGAGCGAGACCCCGTCTCTACTATAAATAGAAAGAAATTAATTGGTCAACTAATATATACAAAAAATTAGCCGGGCATGGTGGCTCGTGCCTGTAGTTCCAGCTACTCGGGAGGCTGAGGCAGGAGGATCACTTGAGCCCAGGAGTTTGAGGTTGCTGTGAGCTAGGCTGACGCCACAGCACTCACTCTAGCCTGGGCAACAAAGCGAGACTCTGACTCAAAAAAAAAAAAAAAAAAAAAAAAGGCCCGAGAGGCCCCATCACAGTCCATCAAGCGAGGGCCTGGGAGCAGGCGGGGAGGTCCGCTTGCTCAGGGCGGCCGGGAAGGAGGGGTCTGCCTTTCCAAGCGTGGCCCCCCGGGTCCTCGCTGTGGCATCCGTGACGGAAAGTATTCCAAGACAAAAAATAAAGTGGAGAGTTGCATCTGTGCTGAACACGCACAGACTTTTCCCTTGTCATTATTCCCTAAACAATCCGATATAACAGCTATTTAAATAGCACTTACGTTCCTTCTAGAAAACTAAGAGTAAAAAAGAAAAAAATAAAAGTAAAAACAAAAATTAAATTATTATTTAAAAAAATAAAAAAAAAAGTAGCACTTACGTTGTATTAGGCATTGCATGTAACCTAGAGGTAATAGGTTAGAGGTGATTTAATGTATAAGGGAGGGCGTGCACAGGTTATTTGCAAATACTGGGCCATTCTACATCAGGGACTTGAGCATCGGTGGAGTTGGGCGTCTGCCAGGGGGTCCTGCAACCAAGCCCCTGAGCTACCTAGGGACGACTGCGGGTACCACATTTTTTTTTTTTTTTTTTTTTGAGACAGAGTCTCGCTTTGTTACCCAGGCTAGAGTGAGTGCCGTGGCGTCAGCCTAGCTCACAGCAACCTCAAACTCCTGGGCTCAAGCAATCCTCCTGCCTCAGCCTCCCGGGTAGCTGGGACTACAGGCACGCGCCACCGTGCCTGGCTAATTTTATATATATATATTAGTTGGCCAATTAATTTCTTTCTATTTTTATAGTAGAGACAGGGTCTCGCTCAGGCTGGTTTTGAACTCCTGACCTTGAGCAATCCGCCCACCTCGGCCTCCCAGAGTGCTAGGATTACAGGCGAGAGCCACCACGCCCGGCCCGGGTACCACATTTTGTTTATCCGTTCGTGTCCCGCCATGGACTCGTGGTGGCGCCCGCCTGTGGCCGCTGTGAACATGAGCGTACACATGTCTGTGCCAGTCCCTGCTTTCAGTTCCTTTGGGGCATACACCCGGAAGCATAATTGCTGGATCAAATGCTAGTTCTATTTTTACTTTTTCGAGGAACCACCAGACCGTTTCCACAGCGGCTGCACCGTTGCCCGTTCCCACCAGCAGCGCACTCGGGCTCCAGTTTCTCCATGAGGATATGTTGTTTTTGGTCATTTTTCCTGCTTCCCTCCTGGCCCCACCCCTGTCCCCACCGGCACTTTCAGTCCCCTCCCTGCTTTCGCACAAGTCAGACAAGGCGGGGCTGACGGCGTTCCTGAAATACTTCAAAACAAGGGCAGTTGCAGCAATCAGTGGTCAACGCCACCTGCGGGAGGTGGACAGGTGACGGGCCTGGGCTCTGACCTGGACAGTCCGTGGGGGCAGACGTGGGGACGGGCTGCGGGCTGGCCAGATGGTGCCAACGCCTGCGTCCGTCCGTCCGAGGCCCTGGGAGGGTCCGAGAGATTGGTGGCTCCCTGGGAGGCCAGCGAGGGAAGGGCACAGAGCCCGGCGCGCCCGGTGCCCACGTCAGGAGGGTCGGGCTGAGGTTCGGGGAGGTGCCAGAGGCAGAGGCATGCAGGGGGCGTTGCTGAAGAAGTCGGGATGCAAGATACTTATTAGGGATCAATACCTGTGAAAGGAAGGTGGGCCGGGGGGGAGACCAGCATTGGGTGGGGGCGAGTTGACCTGCAGCCCAAAGCGGACCCAACACCCGGCAACCCAGGACCCAGCTCGCAGCAAACGGCTCTCATCGGACGCAAACTGGTTCTACATTTTTTCATAGCAAAGGAATAATTGAACAGACAGTTGTTACTCCCGTGTTCGTAGCAACATTATTCATAACAGCCAAAGGGTGGAAACCCCCCGGTGCCCCTCGAGGGAGGAATGGATACACAAGATGTGCTGTGTACCTGCAAGAGAGCCTGAGAGCCGGCAAACTCACAGACACAGAGAGGAGGACAGTGGTGGCCAGGCGCTGGGTTTGCGGGTTATTGGTTATGGGTACGGATTTTCAGTTTTGTGAGATGGAAATGTCCTGGAGATTGGTTGCACGACGATGTGAATATAGACAACACTGCTGAACTGCACACTTAACATGATTAAGATGGCAAATTTTGGTACACATTTTTATTTATTTATTTACTTTTTAAAAGATAGAGGCGGGGTCTCGCTCTTGCTCAGGCTGGTCTCGAACTCCTGAACTCGAGCGATCCTCCCACCTTCCGCCTCCCAGAGCATTAGGATTATGGGCGTGAGCCACCGCACCCGGCCTGTTACATATATTTTTTCCACCAAAATTTTTTAAAACATAAAAAAAAAAAAAAAAAAAGGTAAAGTAGCGTATGCTGCGCGTGACAGGACATCTAGAGTACGATTAGGCTCCGGGTGTGGTCTGGTCGGGACCCCGGGTCAGGCTCTGGAATTGTCCTAGTCCTGCTTCCCCTGGGGCCTGGTCCTCAGCCGCCCTTTCCCCTCCCACAGCTGGGGCCACACGCTTACCTGAGCACGTCCAGCAGGAGAGGGACGCCTCCCCCAGCCGTAGAACAAAAGTCTCTCCCATCACCAGGATGGGATCCTGCACCCGGCTCACAATCTACACCCAAGGCCGGGTCAAGGCCACGCTCTGATGGGCTGGGATCCCGAGGCAGTTCCTGGCAAGGGCGTGGGAATTGCTGCAGCGGAGTGGTCTGCACAGCACCCTCCACCCTACAGCTGAGCGCGGGGTGCTTCCCCTGAGCGGTGGGCTCCGGGAAGGAGGCTTGGGAGCCGAATGATGTTTCTGTTGAGGAGAAGGGAGGGGAGTTGATAAGAACCAGCCATGCCCAGGTGACTCCATGTTTCCTAGCAGCAGCATCTTCCCTGCGCCCTGTCCTCATGCCAGCCTCTCATCTCTTCATATTATTTTGAAATCAATGTAAATAATCAAACTCGCACTTGACCCAGAGCAGGTGCCCAAATTAGACTCCTTGATTATTTTACTCAAATTTCATGCCGTTGAGGAGATAAAATTTAGGAGAAATATCCAGTTTGGTTGTTTACATGACTTCAACAGATAATTGCCAAATCTCCACTTTAGAAGATCTCACAGTTTTAGTCTTCTACAAACCTTGCTTAATCAGTCGGCACAGCCAGTATTGGCAAAGAGCAAACCTAAATCTACAGACCTCCTGCCAGGAGCCTTTAACATTCCCTGGGCTGTCCTTACTAAATCAGGTTGGTCCAATGACGAAGCAAGGAGAGAGCCTACGGGTGATAAGTTGAATCAGTTGCAGGGAGTTTAAGTAGGACAGAGCTTTATTAAAGTCCAGTCATTCAAAGGGCCTCACAACAGTTGCCTAACAGCTTAGTCATAGTTAATTGCATTTCTGATTGCAATTGTGCAATCAGAGAGCGATTGTGCATTCCTGTGCGCACAGTATCTCAGTATCCTAACAACTCATTTGCACCTCCCCTCAGCTCTCCCCTCAGCTCTCCCTTCATCTCTCCCCGAGGCATGGGAGCCTCACCATGTTTTCTGACCCATAGAACATTCTCGTAAATGAAGTGTTGCTTTGTTCTTTCCTTCCACTGTCAAGATTCTAATGAAAGGAACTTTAGAATCGAGGAGACCTTGGAGAACACCGAGTCCAAGGTCAACAAAGTCAGTGCTGCGTCATCCTGAAGGGAATTCTCTCCGCTGATTTCCGGGTTTCCAGTGCTCTCTGCCGCAGTCGGCCCCTTGCACTTCAGCTCAGCGTCCCGTGCTCTGAGCAGCCACAGCAGGGAAATCGCTCAAGGCGTAGGTCCTGGTCCCTGGGTCTGGAGATGGGGTTTGGTCAAGGGGCCTCAGCCAGCCCTCTCGGGGTCGTGGGGAAGAGGAAGCAGGACCAATGTAGGAGATTCTCAGCTGTCATTCCTTCCACACCAGCGGAGGACGGAGGGCAATGCCCAGTGGCAGGACATACTGCTCCTCTTGCCATCGCTGGGGTTCTTTCCTGACCTCTCCTTTCCCTTCTTCATCTCTCCTTTTTCTTTACTGGCCTAGAAATAGGATCAAAGTGTACTTTAAAATGTGTGTTGTATTGATTAACTTGTGTTTCTGACAGGTTATTCTTTTATTCTTTTTTTATTTTTTATATTTTGAGACAGAGTCTCACTTTGTTGCCCAGGCTAGAGTGAGTGCCGTGGTGTCAGCGTAGTCACAGCAACCTCAATCTCCTGGGCTCAAGCAATCCTCCTGCCTCAGCCTCCCGAGTAGCTGGGACTACAGGCATGCGCCACCATGCCCGGCTAATTTTTTCTATGTATATTAGTTGGCTAATTAATTTCTTTTTTATTTATAGTAGAGACGAGGTCTCGCTCTTGCTCAGGCTGGTTTCGAACTCCTGACCTTGAGCAATCTGCCCGCCTCGGCCTCCCAGAGTGCTAGGATTACAGGCCGTGAGCAACCAAGCCCTGCCTGGTTATTCTTTTAAAAGTGTAAGCGCTGAGGGTATTACTAGCCAGGTAGCTCTAATCAGGGAGACAGTGTGGTTACTGGAGAGAGTGTCGGAAGGGAGCCTGGTTTAATATTCTGACAACTTAATGCCCTAATTTCCTGGGAGACAGGGGTTTAACTCCTATAAATGGGATAGGACTTCAAGAGTGTGCAAAAACTGCTATTTAATTGATGAGACGTAACTTGAGGAGACCTTGGAGACCTGTAGGTACCATCGCCTGGATACACCCACCATCCACACTTGTAAGCTGTACCCCCACAGAACACTTTAACTCTGTCAATTTAATCACACTGCTGTGATTAACAGCCTGTTGTGATCGTGGGCAACCAAGAAACTGCTTGGAAGCTTATTTTCCTTGTATGGAAAGGGAAGAATTGGTCTAGAGACCACTAAAGGTTCAGTGGTGCACCTCTAAAGTTCAGTGATTCTGGTATAATTTTTAAAACTTTTTTACACTCTATTGATATAGTCACACACCATAAAATTCATCCTTCTGAAATGTACGATTCAGTGGTTTTTAGTATATTCATAGACTTGTGCACCCATCACCACTATATAATTTTAGGTCATTTTCATCACCCCTAAAAGAAACCCTATAGCCACTAGCAATCACTGCCCTCTCTCCTACCCCAAAAGCCAGCAACCACTAACCTACTGTCTCTAGAGATTTGCCCATTCTGGGTGTTTCATGTAAATGGAATCATATCATATATGGCTTTTTGTGTCTGGCTTCTTTCACGTAATGTAATGTTTTCAAGACTCATCCACGTTGTAGCCTGTATCAATAGTTCATTCCTTTTTTTTTTTTTTTTTTTTTTGAGACAGGGTCTCACTGTGTCACCCAGGCTGGAGTACAGTGAGGTGATCATAGTTCATGTAAGCTCTAACTCCTGGGCTCAAGCATTACTCCTGCCTCAGCCTCCCAAGTAGCTGGGACTATAGGCAGGCACCACCACACCCTGTTAGTTATTTTCTTTTCTTTTTATTTTTCGTGGATACAGTGTCTCCCTATGTTGCCCAGGCTGGTCTTAAACTCCTGGCTTCAAGTGATCCTTCCGCCTCAGCCTCCCAAAGTGCTGGGATTACAGGTGTGAGCCACCGCACCTGGCCTAGTAGTTCATTCCTTTTTATGGAAGAATAAACTTCCATTAAATGGAGGTACCATATTTTGTTTATGCATTCAACAGTCGATGGACATTTGGGTTTCCACATTGTGACTATTACGACTAATGCTGCTATGAACATTTATGTACAGGTTTTCAATGTGATTTTAAGTGGTTATTTAGGCAGATCTTGATGTGCTTCTTTCCATAGTGAGTCAGTGGGTCGCAAGAGATAAAAGATTATCCAGGTCTGCCCTTCAGAATAAGAGAAGGCTGCCCCACAGGGGGGCACAGACTGAAATCCTGATGCACATTTGTTGCATGAATGAAAAAAAGATGTAGTGCAAAAGAACCAAATGATGGTACTTGGTCAGACTGCCTTCTCCAGGTGTTGATGGCAAATCAAAACAGATTAGGAACAAGATGTTCAAATCACTGAATATTGATATTGTATGAGCACTATGTATTTTTTAAAAGGAAAAGAGGAATCAGAACAGTGTTCAGAAAACCTCCCTGCCACAGAATTGATGGGAGATCCAGAGATCCGTAGTGCAACTCCAGACACATGATTCTCGGTACAGTCTGTGTTCTAGACTCTGAGGGACAGTGTCCCCTGGAGTTATGCAGTGCGCAGCCCACCTGGCCATCCACTGTGGCACTGGGGAGGTCACTGTTAGACAGAAGTCAAAAGGGTCACATTCTCAACAGGCTCACCCCATTTGCCAGAGCCAGCGCTTCCTAAATCTGGACAGCAGGAGCCTAAAAAAACATAGGCCCAATAGCAAGGATTCAAGTTTCTATTTTAATTTTTAAAAATATGACTTCCCTGTAGCCTAATTTCTTTCATATCCCATGTGCCTTTGCTACTTTGCATGGGGTAATCATCTAAACTCACTCTTCAATGGCATCTTGCCATTCCCACTTCAAACTTTTCAACCAAGATGACACTTTATATGTGCATATATTCTAATAAGAATATCCAAATGTATAATATATAATATAAAATACAATATTGAATATTATGCAATGGATAATACATACATGTTTGTATAAAATATATTCTACATCATATGTCTATTTATGCATTTATTGTACATTATATATTACTATATTTCTATAATATATATTATTATTAGACTCTAATATATTTTAATATGCATTCTAATAAGAAGCAGATATAATTACTTTAATTAATCATACAAATAATCCCACCCTAGCACTATAAGGAGAGAATGATCATTTCCTTCTAGAGTACACTGTGTGTGTTCCTGTCCAATAGGAGGAAATCAATAACTGCAGTGTGAAACTAATCTATGAGTTCATTTTAAGAATTCAAATATCGTAATGAGAACATTGCCCAGGGATCCAATTTAGACTTAATGATACTTGCCAGCAGGCTCTGATGTTTTAACTGAGATGATAATTACGCTATAGATGGGCTGATGTGGTGATTAACCTCGGCATGTGTCACAGCCGATGGCAGTACAATAAAAAACTTCCTCTGCAACTCCCGGCCTCATCACCTGAGGTCACAGGAACTGTTTGTGCCTTGAGCTCTAGCAGCACCCGCTTGCCAAGTTCTTGAGTCACATGGATATTTATTCAAGGACCCGCTCTTGCCCTGCCCACATTTAGAGCCAGGGATAGACAAGAGTCGTCGGGATCATGGGCATGTAGCCAACAAAGCAGTGCTTGCATGGTGCCACTAGAGTCAAGCCGTCGTCACTGCCAACCTTGGAGTATCAAACTCGGTCAAGCAGAAGCCCGTCCAGCCAACAAAATTCATCCCAAGGCCGGGCGCGGTGGCTCACGCCTGTAATCCTAGCACTCTGGGAGGCCGAGGCGGGTGGATTACTCGAGGTCAGGAGTTCGAAACCAGCCTGAGCAAGAGGGAGACCCCGTCCCTACTATAAATAGAAAGAAATTAATTGGCCAACTAATATATATATATAGAAAAAATTAGCCGGGCATGGTGGTGCATGCCTGTAGTCCCAGCTAGTCGGGAGGCTGAGGCAGGAGGATTGCTTGAGCCCAGGAGTTTGAGGTTGCTGTGAGCTAGGCTGACACCACGGCACTCACTCTAGCCTGGGCAACAAAGTGAGACTCTGTCTCAAAAAAAAAAAAAAAAAATCATTCCAGCAGGTGTTCCTCATCAGCCCCTGCCCTCCTCCAGCCTCTGACCCTTTCCTTCTCATTGCCCCGCCTCTTCTCCTACCTTCTCTTTCTCTCTCTTCTTCCCCTTCTCTTATTTCTCTTCATCATCTTAAAGCATATATTTATTTTTAGGTGAAATTCACACGATAGACAACTAATCATTTTCAAGTATATAATTCAGTGGCATTTAGTGCACTCACAATGCTGTATAACCACCACCCCTCTAAAGTTTCAAAACTTTTTCATCACCCCAGAACACCTCGGACCCATTAAACCTCACTCCCCGTTCCTCCCTTCTCCCACTCCCTGGCAACACGAATCTATTAATACTTTCTGTTACCCTGCAGTGTCGTCATAGCTCACTGCAACCTCAAACTCCCAGGCTCGAAGGATCCTCCTGCTTCAGTTTATACCCAGTAGCTGGGACTACAGGTATGCACCACCACTAAGTTTTTTATACTTTGTAGAAATGAGGTCTTGCTATGTTACTCAGGCTGATCTTGAACTCCTGGCCTCAAGCAATCCTTCCAAATTGCTAGGATTACAGGCGTGAGCCAATATGACCAGCCCTATTCTAGATATTTCACATAAAAGGAATCATACTCACTTGAGCCCAGGAGTTGGAGGCTGTAGTGAGCTATGATGACGCCACTGCACTCTAGCCTGGCCAACAGAGTGAGACCCTGTCTCACATTAAAAAAAAAAAAAAAGAATCATACAATATGTAACCTTTTGGATTTAGCATCTTTCACTTAGCATGTTTTTGAGCTTCATCTAAGTTGAAGCATATGTCAGTACTTCATATCTTATATGGCTGAATATTATGCTATAGTATGTATATAGCACAGTTTGTTTATCATTCATCCACTGATGGACATTTGGGTTGTTTCCACTTTTTGGCGATTATGAATGATGTTGCTATAAACATTTGCGTACAAGTTTCTGCATGAACATATGTTTTCATTTTTCTTGAGTATATACATAGAAGTAGAATTACTGGGTCATATGGTAATTCTATGTTTAACTTTTGGAGGAACTGCCAAACTGTTTTCTATAGTGGCTACACCATTCTATGTTCCCAGCAGCAGTATATGAGGGTCCCTATTTCTCCATATCCTCACCAAACTTTGCTATTTTTTTCTTTCTTTTCTTTTTTTAAATTATAACCATCATAGTGAGTGTGCAGTGATAGTTCATTTTGGTTTTGATTTGCATTTCCCTAATGACCAATGATGTCAAACATCTTATCATATGCTTCTTGGCCATTTGTATATTTTC